AACAATTTAAAGAACAAATCCTAACACACAATTTTTAAAAAACAGACATTGGAGTTCAATTTTAGATCATATTGTCATGTAAGGAACCGTCTCCCTAAATTGGCATCTTTTCTTGATGTCTTCATCTCAATTTTCATAATGCCCTTGGGTATGTTTATCAAATGGGTTGCATGCGATCAGAGAAAATGACGTAAGTGGACGACAATCATGAATTGTGAAACATTTGATTGATCTGAGAATCAAAATACCAAAAACGATAGGATCCATTTGCACAATGTAGGTAAATGATAGAACCGTTTGTGCTAATTACTTAAAAATGGTTTGTTTGAGCCCGATTCTTTGTACAAAAATACATTTTGTAATAGTGTTATGGTGGAAATGTGTGGTTAAAAAAAAGGAAAAATTTTGAATTTGTGTGTAATATTATTTTATTAAAAAATCTGTGATTGAAATAAGTTCAAATAACTGTTTAAGAATGTATTTTGATAGAAAAATGAGGCTCAAACAGAGGCAAAATAATAAGGGTTTAAATGATATTTTCACTTACTATTCAACTCTATTTATATTTTCTTTATAATTATTTTGACAACATAAAGTCAAGTACTGTTATGATATGTTTGGACAGGTGGAGATTCGATAACATTTATTAGTTTAAAAATGATTAATAATTCCTTAATAAAGTTATTTATCCTTTGTTTGGCAATGATTTTTCCAACCGAAAATTAATTTTTTTCAAAGAATGTATGATTAAAAAAAATTATAAATTTCATAAAATTTTATGATTAAGAACTAATTTTCAAAAAATGTCAAAAAATTCATGGAATATATAAAGACCATGTTTGAGCCACATTTTTTCAAAAAAAAAAAAAAAGTTCTTAAACAGTTATTTGATATCATTTCAACAACACGAATTTCAATAAAAAAATATTACACGTAAATTCAATTTTTATTTTATTTTTTAACCACACTTTTTATATCAATACACTATTCAAAAATATATTCTTAAAAATATAATACGGCTCAAACACGGGCAAAATTTTCTTTAGTTTTGAAGATGAATTCTCGGCTGCCGATTATTTGAGCTCCTTTTTTATTTTTATTTTTATTTTTGTTAAGAAAAGCATTTTGAAAGTTTGAAACAATAGATTGATAGAGAATATGTGGTTAAAAATAAGGAAAAATTTTGATTTTGCTTGTAATATTATTTTATTAAAGAATGTGTAGTTAAAAAGAAAAATATATTTCGAAAATAACATGACGTGCCAAACATTGGAGATATACTAAAATGAAAATATTCATTATAATTCTGGCTCATGGATGCACCAGACTTGAAGAATATGATGCGGCTAATGGTATTTTCATCTCATTTTCTTTCACTAGTGTTGGTTCTTCATAGTTAAATTAGTAGTTATAAATTATTGTTTAAGTACCTCATCTATCATCCTTAAAACTCTAATACATGTTTATTTTCTATAGGGTTGTTTGAGCCCCATTTTCTCAAAAAAAATCTATTTTGAAATAGCCTTATGATGGAAAATGGGTGGTTAAAAAATAAGAAAAATTTTGAATTTACTTGTAATATTATTTTATTGAAAAATATATGACTAAAATGATGTGACATTATTGTTGAAAAATATATTTTGAAAAATAAATGTGGCTCAAACAAGGGCTATGTTTATTTTGTTCGTCCTTTCTTTACTCGTCTTGATCCATCAAGTATTCGTGCTCTTCCACTTCCGATATCAAATCGAAAAAGAAGACGAATTGAATTAGTCAAGAGAATGGTGTGTACAAACTAGTCCTAATTAACTTGATTTGAATGATTAAGGTCCCGTTTGTTTCTCATTCTTTGGCCAAAAAATGAAAAATATGACCATTATTCATCATATCAAGCCATCATATTTGACTTCCTCTCTTTTGTGTGGATCTTATAACGACTAATCATTTTCATGCATATAAGAATGAGACAAAGAACAATTGAGAAATTAAAGTTGCAAAAGATTGGTCAAGAAAGACAATTGTGCATAGTTTATATATTGAGTCCCTATTTGAGTTTGTTAAAAATTATATTTTTAATATATTTTGATAAAATATACAAGCTAATAAAAGTTATAAGTCATATAAAATTAATTATTGAATTTAAGTCATATAAAATTAATTATTGAATTTAACTTAAAATATTATTAATTTTTTAGTTAAATCAAATAGAGGCTAAACCCTTGTTCGAGTCCCCTTTTTTGGGAAAAATATATTTTGGAATGGTAATATTTTTTTGTAGAATGTATGGTTACAAAATTGAAAAAAATTTAAATTTACGTGTAAAATTACTTTATAGAAAAATGTGCAGTTGAAAATGAATTTTGAGAATAATGAGCCTCAAACAGAGGCTAAGTATTAATCATGATATTCTATTATAAATTACTAAATATATTAATCGTGAAAAAACTAATGTTATTATACGAATCATAAATGATTAAGATTGATTAATTATATTCATACTAAAATTTGCTACTAAATTAATTATTCAAATGAATAAAAAGTTGACATTTCATAACTTTACAGCAGTAAAACAACATAATTGAGTCGGCTTTTGGTCATTTAGCAGATATTACTCTATTTTTTTAATTTTTAATTTTTAATTTTTAATTTTTTGTTTTTACCAAACATAACTTTAGTTGAAAAGAACACATTAACATGACTTGATTGATGAGAATTGGATTACACGAAAACAAAACCTTAAACGAAATATGTCACTTAGGAACTTGAAAATTTTAAGGTATGTTTGATTTGTTGCTTACCAGATGTATTCATTTTCTCACTTTTGTAGAAAACTCGCCAACGTATAAGATTTTTTGTGAGTTAAGAGTATCTTTTCCCACAAAAAATAAGGTCTAATTTGTAGTTCAATAGCTACTATGAAATTCGAAGTGTGATGAGAATTGTGATCTATATGTTCAATATACTAATTCTAAACTAACAAAGCAAATAAACTATTTATTTAGTGCTTGTTTATACCTCATTTTATGTGAGTAATGTATTATATAATAGTGATTGATGTTGAAATATGTGGTTAAAAAAAATTTTTATTTACGTGTAATATTATTTTAATGAAGAATATGTGGTTGAAAATGAGTACTGCAGAAAAATAATGTAGTAGAATGTGGAAAAGTGGTAGACGAACAAAGCCT